TACTTCTGGTTCGTTGGTATCAATCCATTCTCAAAGCCGTGCCTTTGTTTGCCTTTTAAGTGATCCGTGTATTGATTACTATGTTTACTGTATTTTTGTATTTATTTGCTTTAATCAATATTAAAATTTCCATGATTTATTATTATATAAAGCTGTTTAATTAATGTATGATTAAAATTTAAAAATAAAAATTTAATTACTTTCCAGAATTATAATTACTTTTAAAAAATTATATTTAATGATTATAAAATGAAAGGTACAAAAGTCGCTTAAATTTTTAATTATATATTTATTTTTAATTTTCTTTACAAATTCACTGCCAAACTTGATGTATGTAACAAATGGTTATAAATTAAATGAATTCGTATAAAATTAAGTAATATATTTTACCTAAACTATAGCAACAATTATTTATAAAATATCTATTCAATTATAAAATGTAAATTATTCACAATTTAAATAATACTATAAATTTAACACTTATTTACAACTCTGGACTCACTGTCTGACCGATTTAGGCGTTCACTACTGTTACGAATGCCGTATAAGAAATACATTAACAATCCTGATAAAAATAAAATAAAAATAAAATTAATAAAAGTTAACTATACTATATTTATCTGTTATAATGTCATACCTATCACCATCCATACGCCAAACCTTATCCATGTATCGTACGATAGTTTAAACATCAGGTAAATATTTACAAAAACACTTAGGAAGGGAATTACCGGTACGCCGGGCACCTGTATTTTGTTATATAAATTAAATATTTAGTAACTTATATATGTGGTGTTAGAACTCATTTGGAGGACTTTTGTATAGCATAGAAAATATAGTCATGTAGTGAAATGCTTTAAATTAACAGCTTACGATTACACATTGAACATGAATTAATGTATTCGAATGAATGAGTAAGGTGAGTTTTTAAAATGTGTAATCGTAAGCTGTTAATTTAAAGCATTTCACTACATGACTATATTTTCTATGCTATACAAAAGTCCTCCAAATGAGTTCTAACACCACATATGATGAATAACAATGTGTTATAGAAATTACTTCAAAAGATACTGATTTAGGTATCATTGGTTGCCTTGTGAGGCAATATATGACAAAAACGATAATAACGACAGTAATACAGGAGCTCACAATTGGACCCACATTTCCGTCAAATATCTGGGGCTCAAAAAACACGAGCTGTGCGTCCAATATAATTAACAGTAGACCTATAAGTATGAAAATATATATTATTTATACAAATAATACAATAAAATATTTAAAATAATTTTTTTAAACAATACTAAACTGATTGCAGCGATCAATGAGTTGGACACAAGTGATGAGAACCGTGTGGGTCGTGACAATTGGTCTAAATTTAGGATTTGTCTAAAAATGTCTTTTTTAGTGAAATATTGCGGAGCGAAGGACTTGTCATCCGCTGAGATGTTGTCTTCAGAGATCTCATCTTTCACATGATTTATCTCTTTTAAGTCATCCGCATATCTGTTGATAAGTCAGTGAGAGTGAGTGAGTGAGTGAGAGCGAGAGAGAGCGAGCGAGAGAGAGAGAGAGAGAGAGAGAGAGAGAGAGAATGATCATTAAAAATAAATTATACCTGATAATTATAATGGATTCTGCGACCAAGGTATAAGCTAGTAGCGTACCTAAAATATACACCAATAATTGAATAATCAATTAATTTAATGCAATTAAAAAACTAAAATACTACAAACCAATAGACATCATATTAATGAGCTGGTTAATATCAAACAAGGCCGCCATAACAGCAGCCAATCCTCCAGAAATAATGGTGGCATAGACTGGTGTTTTGAACCGGGGGTGTACTATCGCCAGGAATCGCAATATAATGCCATCGTTGGCCATAGAGTATAACACTCGGGGCAAGGGATACATAGCACCCAACAAACTGGTGGACAGACCGTTGAGGGCGCCTATAGACACAATCCACCTGGCCCACGTCCAGCCCAGGTGCTCGAATATGTAGGGCAGTGCGGCACCGTTCGTATCATCCTTTCCTTGTAGATAGTACGGGTATAGGAGGGTTTGTATGGCACTGATGCCGAAGTAGGCCAGGAATATGAAGAGTAGCGACAACACTATACTCAATGGGATGTTCCTCTTAGGGTTCTTCGCCTCCTCACCTATCAGTGGACAGACATGTCGTATGAATTAATTGTAAATTTAAATAATTTGTAGATTTTATGTAACAAACCGGTGGTTGCGATGGCGTCGAAGCCCACAAACGCTATTAAAATAATGTTTTAAAATAATGTAAAACTTTAAGTGAATTAATGTTAGTGTTGTAAATACCATAGAAACACGTGGCGGCTCCGACCATCACACCTGTCCACAAAAATTTAGTTAATTAATTAATGTTTATAATAAACCCTTTTAATGACATACCGGAGAAGCCGTTGGGAAAGAAGCCTCCATTTCCCGCGTGTGTATATTTGGGTGGTATCTCATCCTTAGAGATATTCCAGTTGTGGGAATCGATTTTGAAGAGACCGGCGATTATGACAAACGCAACGACCAGTAGATTCAAAACAGTCATTATTGTGTGCAATCGGATCGACTCCTTGACGCCCAGTGCTAACAGAACTGTACAGTAGTTCCCATTTGAACACATAATTAGTATTAAGGAATATGTTATGAAATCATGTGTTGCTTACCCGCCAGCCCTAGAGTGAGCAAGAATGCTATGGGGTCTGGATAATCACCCAGGCCTGATATATGCATAGCCACATGACTTTTGAAATATTTCGATATCTTGCCATCAAATAACGAGTCAATGTATATGCTGTACCCGTTAGCTACCGATGCCGTTCCTATAAGGGGTGGGGTGGGTAGGTAACATATAAATAACTGTTTGAAATTGAGTTTAAATAGTTGTAGCAAGGTGAATACCGATAACATATTCCAGGATGAGATTCCATCCGATCACAAATGCCATAAACTCGCCGACCGTTACGTATGAGTATATGTAGGCCGAGCCCGCTCTCGGCACTCGCGACCCAAACTCCGCGTAACATAAACCTAGATATCAATGCATGTAATGTTAGATTATTTTTGAAAATTATTTTTTATTTTAATAATACCTGCGAATACCGATGCAATAGCAGCTGTAATGTAAAATGAGTTTTGAATACAGTTTTCAATTTATTGCAAGTTTAATATGTGAAACAAATTTATACCGATTAGAAAGGATATGCATACGGAGGGCCCACTGGCAGCATCACCCGTATCACCACTGGCCACCTGCCCGGCCAATACATATACACCCAGACCTAGTGTCGAGCCAATGCCTATACAATATAATAATTTGGAAATTAAGAAATACTGTTATTGTATAATACTTTAATTTTAGGGATTTAGTAGCTTATGTTTGAATTCAATAATATTGTTGTTATTGAATTTTAATATTTCTCAAATATAACCCGTTATCATATTTATAATGATTCAGAATGAGATATAATGTACTCTAAAACTTGTTTCTAATTTTCAGTTTATTATTATAGGATATTTATAATATTTTATTAGTTTTGCACTGAATATAAATTATTAAATAGAAAGAATTATCAATAGAATAATAACACTTTAATAACAATAAAAAAATAAATTCTAATCTGGAATAATGCTACCAGTAAATTTATGTAAAAGGTTATATTGGTTTTGTCAAATACTGATCTGTAAACAAAAGTGATCCAATTGAATTTCAAAGCAATTAAGCGTTTTCACATGATTATCAATGAACCTGTTCAAATCTGTGACATTTAACTTTATTGTTATGAACTTTGTGTTCAAATATAATGAATATAAATAGAATCGGTAATAGTCTGTATGATACTGATACTTTATAAATTTCTTACAATAAAATGCATAATAATCTTGTTATCAATTTCATATACAACTCCTGTATTTTTATTATTTTATAAATATGATACAAGTGTTTTTAAATAATAATGTCACTAATTGATAAGATTTAGACATTATAAAATGAGAATTATTTGAGCAATATATATTTCTTAATTTTTAAAATTATTATTACACAATAATATTTAAAATATTTAAAAAAAGCTAAAATAAAATTCTGCAAATCAACAGCAAGTTAATATTAGTATTTTAAAAATTATTAATTAAATAACTATTGTTCAAATATTAATTACAACTTAAATTAGAAAATTAATTAAAAATTTTAATTTTAAAAAATATGGGTGTAGTTTATTAATATTACGTAATATGAGTAATAAATTTAAATGTTCACTACAACCACTGTATTTGGTAAATTAAACCACAATTGTAAGTTATATTGCATAACAAATTGCATGACAAATGACATACCCAGGCAGGTTAGGTCGAAAAAGGACAGACATCTCTTGAGTTGACTCGTGTCCACCGAATCGGCGATAATCTTCTTACGTCTCACTAAAGCTTTAAACACCGATTCACTTGTCATTCCCTATTCGGTTGATTCACTTCTCACTTATGTATCCAAATATGAGTCCAAACATTGATTTGATATATATTTATATAAAACTCCTCTTAATATACTTTGATTTGTTATAAATTGTACGAATCGTTTAGCTATTTTGAAACAATGCGTGCAATCTGTATGCGATAAACGTGAATAGTTTTAATTGAAATAGATAACACTTCTATACCGTAATTAATTATATTAATGTTATTTAATCTTTGTGTGTATCATATGTCTATGTATTCAGTGTTGTATATGAATACAAAATACAAAACACTGAATTTATGTATTTAATCTATAAATAGGCAGGATATTAAATAATAATTATTTTGTACAGGTATAAACTTCTAATGTGAATAAACCTTTATTTTATAAATCCTTAATTTTATTAAACCTTGCTTCATCAAGACTTAAGTATTTTATTTTAATTGTATAAAAATTTGAATTAAATTTTAAAAATAAAGAAATTACTAGTTAAATTTTTTATAGGCCTTGATCATATTGTAGTTCTTAAAACTACATTGAAATGTTTGCATAACTTTTGTTATGCATTCCTTTTCAATGTAATTCGATACTAAAATTGAATGTTATTTTTTGGCAAAAGTTAATACATTGAGTCTATGGGAGAGTGCTTTATATTAAGTCACTCTTAACTTAGCTCTCAATCATATAACTCTAATATTATGTAATAATATTTTAAATGAATAATAATGAATAAAATAAATAATTAATTAATATTACGGTCACTACAATATTTGTTAATGCCAGGAGCATTTTAATCTGACTATTCTTATAGTAGGTATCAATAGCTTATGTGTTATACTGTGAAGGTATGCGTGAAATGATGAAATTCCGGACAAACTCTGAGTCTGAATGTGTTCACGTTATTTAGATAATAGGTATTCATAATGCAAATAAATCTTACCTTTTAGATAACAAGCGCACATGTACATTTTGTTACAAAACAAACCAATTGTTCAAAAACTAACTGTTTATCAATGAACTTGTCTATCTACTGTATTAGTACATCATAGTGTACCACAACGAACCGATGTTTCAATTGTATGGATTATCATTACATTTATGATTAGAGCAATTTTAACATAAAATCATTTTATTAAAATATAAATAAAACAGATGTTTTAATTTGAAAATTTTTATTGTTTTTATTAAACTTGAAATAAGTTATTATTATTTCACTAAAAATTATAAATTACCAATTTAAATTTTATTTAAGGCTTCAAACTAAACAAGTAAGTTTTCTCAATGAATCTATTTGTTTGGTATATAATGCACTAAAAATTCATTTGTAGATTCAGTACAAATCGCATCTCTATTCATATTATCAAGGAACTCATATTGATAACATTTTCAAAAATAGTTAAACACATGCTATGATAAATTTTATAATTAGAAACCTTTTTAAATGTCATATTTAGGTTTCAATAAATTTTAAATAAGTACAAAACACAAAATTCATATTAATATCAAAATAAAATAATTAATATTGATCAAAAAATCTATTAATTATTTTAGATTTTAATTGTATTTATTCTTAGAAATAAATTACATGTGAATAAGTAATTGTAAATGTTTGTGAGTATATATGTTAAAATAATGTTTCGTATAAAATAAATTGTTTAAAATATTGCTCATAATGAATTAAATTTATGTTGTTTAATGGATAAACACTTAATTTTACCACACATTTTGGTGATACAATCGGTACCTATTTGTGTGGTATAATCATTATCACCATAGAGTTTAATGGTTTGAATTTTAGGCAACTCTGACAATGAAATTAACGTCAAATCATTGATAAATAAAGTCTTATAAATGCCTACAAATTGAAGTCTCGGGAAATATTTGCTAACATTTGTCAAAAACGGGTCATAATTATATTCAAACGTATAAAAAGTTAAATGCGTTAAACGTTTGCAATTCATAAGCAATTGTGCGGTGAATACAAAGTCTACCGGAAATTCACCGCATATTTCCAGACATCGGATGTGTTTGAAGTGATGATTGACTTTATCTATGATTACGGGCAACACGTGAGACACCTCTCGGGTGCCCACTAATGATAGTCTCTTCAG